TGTGTGTGTGTGTGTGTGTGTGTGTGTGTGTGTGTGTGTGTGTACTGGCAGTGTTGATATTAGTCCTAATGACAGTATCTCTGCTTTTGTCTACAGAGCAGAGCAGCTCTCCAGTGTGCAATACACTCTCCCCAAAACAGCAGGTGGAGATAGGGCTGACTTCTGGAGGTTCCGTGGTCTTCGCAGTTCAAAGAGGAACCTGAGGAAGAGCCGAGAGGATCTTTCTTCACAGCCAGTCCAAACAAAGTTCCCAGCTTATGAAAGAGTTGTGCTGAGAGAGGGTGAGGTGTCTGTTAGCCCGTTTAAGAGTAACAGCACAGTTTTTTTTAAGTCTGTTAATGGTTTCTTTTCTCCTTGTGCAGCTGGCTTCCTAAGACCGGTTGTAATATTTGGACCTATTGCTGATGTTGCTCGTGAAAAGCTTTCCAGAGAAGAGCCAGATCTTTTTGAGCTTGCAAGTATGTCAGTAAACTGCATAAAACACATTTAGTACTCAAGAAAATGTATTTGTCTTAAAATTGTCTCACCTCATTTCCTAGAGAGTGAACCGAGAGATGCAGGAACAGACCAGCGTAGTTCAGGAATAATTCGTCTTCACACTATCAAGCAGATCATCGACAGAGTGAGCTCTTTATGATACATGCATAGATTTTAAAAATAATATATCATTGTTTGTGTGCGTGCATTTGTTAAAAATAACTCTTTCTTTTCTTAATGAAGGACAAACATGCTGTACTGGACATCACTCCAAATGCTGTGGACAGGCTGAACTATGCTCAGTGGTACCCGATTGTAGTCTTCCTAAATCCCGATAACAAACAGGGTGTGAAGAACATGAGGACCAGGTTGTGTCCAGAGTCCAGGAAGAGTGCCAGGAAGCTCTATGAGCGAGCCATTAAACTGAGGAAGAATAATCACCACCTGTTCACCAGTAAGTGGGAGAGAGTTATAAAAATACCAGTAAATGAAAAAATGTAAATTGTCTTTTTTTTAACATGCTTTGTTCTTAATGAGCTGCCTGTAATGTAAACTATTCTCTTAGCAACCATCAACTTGAACAATATGAACGATGGTTGGTATGGAGCGCTAAAGGAAACCATCCAGCAACAGCAGAACCAGCTGGTGTGGGTGTCAGAGGGCAAGGTGAGTCTATTCTGCTGCGCTGAACACCATTACTGTGAATAAATGAGCCATCAGGTGACGGTTTCTCTGCTCTATTCAGGCGGATGGTACTACAGAGGATGACTTGGATATCCATGATGACCGCTTGTCCTACCTTTCAGCACCAGGTAGTGAATACTCAATGTATAGCACAGACAGCCGCCACACTTCTGACTATGAGGACACAGACACAGAAGGTGGAGCATACACAGACCAGGAATTAGATGAGACTTTGAATGATGAGGTGGGTCTGCCCACGGAGCCTGCCATCACCCGCTCCTCAGAGCCTGTGCGAGAAGATCCTCCTGTAATTCAGGACACCCCTGGTTACCCTGGATACCAGCACCCCGTGCAGCCTGACCCAGCCAATCGCATAGACCCTGCTGGGTTCAAGATGGCTGCTCCGCAGCAGGTAAAGTTCATATCTGGCATTGCAGACAGGCTTTGCCTTTCAAAGATGGATGCATGGGTGAAATTATATGACTGAAGAGCAGAGGAATTACTCCTTTGTATTTAGTGATGTGTCCTGACCTTTTTGTTAAGATTAAAAGTTTCTTGACTAAGTAATGAATATTTTTAGAAGCTACTGGTATGCTATCGATTCTAATCACATTTCTGCAAGCGATTTCTCTGGCTGGTGTAAAACTGATTCAGTGTAAGGAAGAAGATCACGGTGTTGGGGTAAGCTGTACTTTCTGTGCCCTTGGCAGGCTGTATTATAAATGTCTCTTAACAATACTTCACAGCAAGGTGAGGCTGCTGTGCCCATGCCCTCGTTGCCTCCGACGTCGGTAGCAACCCCTGCTGCTGAGCAGTCTGTACAGCTAGAGGGTGTGCACCTAGAGGAGCCGCCTGCTGCAGCCGCAGCTCCTCAGGCTGACTCACTTAGCAGCCCCAGCCCTGCCCCTGAGCTTATTCAGCCCCCACCACCACCACATGAACCCCACCCGTCTGGACTGCCTGGTCCAGAACCAAAGGTACCCGCTGTTTCACCAGCCACTCGGACCGGGCCTGGGCCCCAGCCTGCTGTTTTAACTGCCTGTCTTCTCACACATGCTTTCCACTTGCTCTCTGCATGACACGCCCACACTGTGTGACTCACTGAGCCCACTGTGTGCCTCTGGCTTCCAGAGAAAATGTGTGACAGACTAGTCCACATGCACCACAGTGGGCTGGGAGACCAGAAGGACTGGTACATCTGAGTCTTTGACCAGGGTGAAGACATCCACAACCAGCCCTAACTGTTGCCTTACTTCCTTTGCATGGCTCCTAATGTTTTTTGGGTTCCTTTCAGCTTCAACTTTTCTTCTGTAGATGAAAAATAGTGTCACAGTAGCATCGTAGTGGGTAGATGTGTCGTCTGTCGTAGTGCCAGTAGTTTGACATTGCATTATATGCAAACTGAATGTTTTTTGCATGATGAAAGCTAACCTGCAGACAGTACTCTTGGTAATAAATTCCTTTCAATGAGCAATTCTCCCTATGGAAAAACAAACTTGCATCTGCACACTGCATTATGTCTCTCTTGTGTAGTTACGCCCTCTGTATATGCCAACAGATCAACCTTCCATAGGAAGTACTGTAACTAGATTTGCTGTCTACAGGCTACACATCATTTGTTTGAAACGAGGCCTTTCAGAAATGTACAAATTACTTGCTAGTGTGCCATTTATCAAACTTTAAAGATGTAAAATTCACTTGTGTTTATATGGATAACCACCATTCTTGAAAGGCATCTTGTCAAACAGGCATTCAGAACTGTTTTTAATAATGGGAAAAGGTTTGCCTGAGTAAATGCACTTTGACTTAATCTTGGTTTAATTCATCAGTTGAGAGATTTTCTTTGGTTAATGTTATTGTTAAACTTTTCAAGGTTTTAGTTTATTTCCTGTTAATTAATTTAATCTTAATCTGGTGTTGGGAGAATACTGGCTGCCTTCTGTCCTGCAGCACTGGTTTGTTAAAAGTTTGCAATGGGATGGATCCATTCATTTAATTCTTTTTCTTCACAGATGTACAAGAAAGATCTTTACAATATGGAGGACCCTGTGCGAATCAACCATAGCCTAAAGCAGTCTATGAGCTATAGTCACCAGCCGCCGTACCAGGACAAACAGCCATACCGCGAATACGACCACCCGCCTTACGGATATGATGGAGGCGGCTACACGGAACCAAAGCCTCACAACACTGATTCTCACCTGCACTACGACAACCGTGTGCCTCATTACAACGAACAGTGGCCCCCCTATGACCAGCAGACCTCGTCCTCCCAGCCCGCAGGGTACCAGCCGGGCCACCAGCAACCCATGGGCTACAATCCCCGGTCCCCCTATGAGGATGGACCGGGAAGGGACTACAGCCCCCCTCAGCCACGCTATGATGAGGCCCCACCAGTGGGCTATGATGGCAGACCTCGCCACAGTAAACCTGGACCGCTTCGTTACGATGAGCCCCCTCCACCACCTCTCCCTCCGGCAGGCTACGATGCACGTTCCCCATATGAAGCAGAGACCCACAGCTTCCCCATTAACTCCCCTCGATCACCAGAGCCTTCGAAGCAGTATTATGGTGACTCTGGTCTGAGGTCGACCTACATGCCTGGGCCTCCAAACCGGGGTTTTAAGCCAGGGATGCATGATGCTATGAGAAACTCTGAACCCACCATTCCTCCACCTAAACCAGAGGCCCTGCCCTCCCCAGGCGATCCAGCAATCACCCCAGGGTCCAAACCTCCTCCACCTCCACCCCAGGAAGACCTGGATGAGGACCCAGCCATGAAACCACAGTCAGTGCTCAACAGGGTCAAGATGTTTGAGAATAAACGGTCGGTTTCTATGGACAGGGCTAAAGAGGGAGGTGATTCATCAGTACTCCGGGTATGTTTATCTCACCTTAGTTACAATAAGGATTCTGGCTCAGTAACGCAACAACGTTAAAAACTTGATGTTAGAACTCTGTATTAACTTCATCACATTTCAAATATTTGCACTTGTATTGCTAACAGCAAACTGGTTAGAGTGCTAGTTTAAATACAGATAGCTATAATCTTGAATAAAAATCCTATTTAAAAAAACATTTATGTATGATAATAAAATATACAAGGTAGGGTGTAAATGGAGTCCAACAGGATATGGTATGTTATGTTTCATTGATATGTAGTTATCTTGAAAACGCAAGCTTGTTTATATGAGATTTTTCTTCCTTTTTTTTTTTTTTTTGTCTGAACAATTTTACATCTTTCAGGCACAATAATAGATATGTGTGCAAAATCTAAATCTAATGCAAGAATCACTAAAGCAGAGGCCCATGTTTGTTTTTTCAGCCTGCAGATATTCCTAAGCCTGTGATAGCACCTGGACCAGTCCTTAAAGCCAATTCCCTCAGCAACCTAGAGCAGGAGAAGTCCTCCTATAGGTATGTAACCCTCGCTGCAAAACCCCAGACTACAGGGTAGGTGAGTGAAGGACAGTCGCTCATAAGATCCTTGAAAAGGAGTCTTAGAATTCATTTGTTGTCGTTTGAGCTCCATCTGGTGGATGCCGCAAGCCCTGTAGGTTAGCCTCAGTGTCATTGGCTGCCTGAGCTGCCCAGCTGTAAAGATTCATATTGATTTCAAAGATATCTGATAAATTAATCTCATAGACTCTACTTTAAGTTAGTGTACAGTTTCTGATTTGCCTCAATCATTCTGCTGTTTGTCTTTTTCTGCAGGGCTCCTGAACCACAGAAGCCCCACACCAAGCCCCTGGATGATGTAGTCCGTTCCAACCACTATGACCCAGATGAGGATGAGGAATACTACAGAAAGCAATTGTCCTACTTTGATCGTCGCAGCTTTGACAGCAAGGCCATGGGCCAGCCCGCTCCTGGCATTAACCGCTTCCATGATCTGCCCAAACCACCTCAGCTATCCTACCCATACAACAGGTATAACAGCTCAGCCTGTGCCAAAAGTGCTGCCTGTTGTACAACATTTCTCAGGTTTTAAGTCATCACAGCTGTTGAATAATAATTGTTTGTGCCATCTAACTGCAGAGTTGAGTCTGTGGAGAAAGTGAGTCCAGTGGAAAAAAGATATGATCCTCTGCCACAAATCAGTCCCTCTTCACAGTATGGGCCCCCGGCCTCTGCCATTCCACCCGCCACACTCCCCAAACTCAGTCCTGGCGATGGTAAGCTTCCTAAACTTTCTGCTGGCCTTCAAACCTTCGTCTGTACGTTATTGCATGAATAACATACACATGACATGAATTATATCTGTGCCATGACATGCTTTCTCCAATAAGCTTTGCCTTTTTCGGCCACGTTTTTTCTTCTGTTCTCATATACAGTCATATACATATCTTCATATTTCTTTTCCTACTGTTTCCAGTTGCTTCCTCTCACATCTTTTTGTTTGTTCTTAAATTGATTTCTTAAACAAGACCGTGGTTTCCAAACTAGCATTGGTTGTCTAGAATGTTTTGGGGTTGTTTTTTTTTTTTTGCTTTTTTTTTTTTTTTTTTTGTGCACACATCATTATAAAGTAAACATGGAAGAACATGAGAACTTTACTTACCTTCATGTTAATGTAATTTTGTAGGACTTCAAACACTGGCATCCCCAGGCTTCTACCTACCTACCTAAACCCCCACGCAACATTATTTTGCGTCAAATGGTGGAAGTGGAAGCTAAACTGGCTAGTCATTCATATGTATATTAGGCTGTTAAGTAGGACGACTGATCAATGCTCCACTACCAAAAGGAAGCCAAGCCCTGCCACCCTTTACAACAAAACAACGAGCCACGTGTCAGGTCAAACACAAATGCAAGAGAAATCAGGCCACTTTGCAATGTGTTCACTGCTACAGATATACATGTGGTAAATGCAGACGACAGATACCATGGCAGTGCCAGGACTGTGAGTGATTGCTGAAAATGTTGAAATGTACTCACTACTACTTTTTATTATTATTTGTAATATGTGTACAAATGGTTGGTTTTTTGTACTGTCTGTTTATCAATAAATCGTCAGCAACAAAGGACCTACACCCATGTGTGTTGATTTCTCCCTAAGATGGCAAACTGAACACTCCACTCCCCCACCCCTCCCTCCAGAATTCCTACTTAACAGCCTAATATACATATGAATGACTAGCCAGTTTAGCTTCCACTTCCACCATTTGACTGCTCTCTGGGTTTTATAGGTAGAAACGCAAAATAATGTTGCGTGGGGGTTTAAGTGTGAAGTGATAATGGCTTTAAAAAAAAAAAGACTTTTCTCTCTCTCCCTGTGAGATCAGACTGGCTGCATGGTAGTCAGACCAGAACTGTAAGCAAAACTATCTGTGGCAGGACCTTTTTTTTGCTTGTTGCTGATGAAAGATCTCTACTGAGTGTCAAAGCTCGGCACAGTTCTGTAAATCTAGCAAAAAAATCTTGATTTTGCTCATTTGTTGGTAGTAGCTAAACTCTTCAGTACATATAGAAAGTACATAACTGTATATATAATCTCTTGTGTATGTTTAATCAAGACTGTATTTAAATTACTTGATTTATTATATCCTCTTTCAGCTAACTCCGTACCTGAACCATTGACCTCACCCAATCCTAAACCTGAGCTGACAACTCTTAGGCCGACCAGTAGGGATGAACCCACACCGGGCAGTTACCTGCCCCCGAGGGGCCTTCCCGACAAATCCCCGGTCAATGGCACTGATGCAGCACCCCCAAAAACCCTGAGCACTCCTGCACCAACTAGCTATAACCGCTACGTCCCGAAGCCTTACACCAGTGCAGCCCGACCCTTTGAGCGCAAGTTTGAGAGTCCCAAGTTCAACCACAATCTGCTGCCCAATGACACACAGGTGAAGACGGACCTCCTCAGCAAGCCCAGTGTGGTGAGCAACAGTAGTGGGAAACCTCAGTTGTCACCGCAGCCCCTTGATCACGACAGTGGCCTAGACACTTTCACACGCACTATAGACAACAGGCCCAAATACCAGCACAATAACATCAACGCCATTCCCAAGGCCATCCCTGTAAGGTAAGACATGTTCTCACCCCTAGTAGCATCGAATTCTCAGAGAAAGTAATTACTGAGCTGCTGAGAAAGGGAGAGAAACTTGTTTGTGCACAGGGGGTTTGCTCTCATGCCCTCTGCTGTACATTATTCTCTGCCTACACTGATTTGACTGATGATGTTCTCCTCTCTGCTTCTGTCCCTCAGCCCCAGTGCACTGGATGATGACGATGAAGATGAAGGGCACACAGTGGTGGCCACTGCCCGTGGAATATTCAACTGTAACGGAGGGGTCCTGAGTTCTATTGAGACGGGCGTCAGCATCATCATCCCCCAGGGTGCGATCCCGGAGAGTGTCGAGCAGGAGATTTACTTCAAGGTGTGCCGGGACAACAGTATCCTGCCCCCCCTCGACAAGGAGAAAGGTCAGTTCCTCAGTGCTGGATAGAGATCCTCCCTAACCTAGATTTATCAACTTGTGAGATGGTACAGAATCTGAGGAAACTGGTGAAGGTTGTGAAATGTTGACTGTAGTAGTGCAGGGGCTTTGTCTTCCTAGATGAGAATAAAGTTTTTCAAGCTATGCATTTTAAGTGATGTAAGGCTTGGTGATGTGTTTGCCCATGGAAGCAAACACACACTTCTTACCACCTTATGCATCACTAAGAAAACTAGTCTCATGAATTGAAAATTGAAAAATGATTTCTGTATTACTGAATATAGATGTTTTCCTCTAGATCACGGTAGGCAACTCCAGGCCTCGAGTGCCGGTGTCCTGCAGGTTTTAGATCCCACCCTGGGTTAACACACCTGAATCAAATTACCAGACCTCTGGAGAACTTCAAGAAATGCTGAGGAGTCATTTAGCCCTTTAAATCAGCTGTGTTGGATCATGGACACATTTAAAACCTCCAGGACACCGGCACTCGAGGCCTGGAGTTGCCTACCCTTGCTCTAGATCACATTAGTCTGGAGAGAATGCCTGCCACCTCTGAAGAACTCTCTCTGGTCCCCAGTGATCAATTACATTACTTAGTGGGTTTGTGTGGAGAGCTGTTTTGGGGTATGTATTTGTTTGTTCTGGTGCCCTGGTGGTGGTGGGGCCTGCCTTGTGGTGTGGGGCCTGGCCCGGATGGCTGGCCTTTTTTTGGGGGGGGGTCCTGGTATGAGATCTAGGGCCCTGGTGCCCAGGGTTGCCCCACATGGGGATGTCCTGCCTGTGCTTTGTGATTTCTGGGGTACCTGCAGACAGTTTGAAGGTTGTTCAGTTGAGAGAACACTTGTCACTTGGCTGTTGTCTGGATTGGGAATTGCTTGTCTGGGACTCAGGCAGACTGAGTGGGTGACTGAGACTTCTGTGAGGTGCAAACAGTGGGTGCTTCTGCTTGCTTTGAGTACCCGTTTGTATTTTATATGTTTTTTTGTATTTATGTGAGCTGTCAGACATGAAAAGCTTAAAAAACAAAGTTTAAGTTTTGCTTTTCTTGGATAGTTGTAGAAATTCTCTTTGAGTTTCAAAACCAATATAGAAACTACTACAGAAAAAAGACCCTGAACTAGATAGGGAAATAAACAGTGGTTATACTGGTGGTTACACACTTTTAAACAAGCATATATTTCTTATTTACTACGATGGCCTAATAACAGACTATTAAATCGGGTGTTTGGTTTGTGAAGTTTAACTCTGGTTGTATATCTGTGCAGGAGAAACGCTGCTTAGTCCGCTGGTGATGTGTGGCCCACATGGACTCAAGTTCCTGAAGCCGGTGGAGCTGCGCTTACCTCACTGTGCGTCAATGACCCCTGATGGTTGGTCTTTTGCTCTAAAATCCTCCGACTCCTCGTCGGGTATGCTGTCCTCTCTCTGTCCTTTTGGGGTCTGTGTGCAGACTTTGGTGTTCAGCAAAGCGAGTTCATTGCTTTCTGAATCAGTTTAACACTCACATCTGTTTTCTGTTTCCCCCCCCTCACCTTTTTATCATGCATGTGCTGTTTGTTGGTGGTGTTATTTATTTTGGGCTCTCTGTTAGTTCCAATTAGTTATATGAACTATAAACAGACATAAAGAGCTAGTATTTTTAATCTTGAAAATCTTACCAGCTGACTCTGAATCAGTTTTCCGACAGAAGCGGTTCCACATCCAGTTTAGTGTGGATGAAGGTGCTGCTGTAGACAAACACCAAGTCTGTGGGTTGGATGACATTATAAAACTATCATTAGACTAGGGCTGCCACGATTAGTCGACTAGTCACGATTACGTCGACTATCAAAATCTTCGATGACCAATTTAATAGCCGACGCGTTGTTTGAAGCTTTGTAAGATCACAAAAGACGCAGGAATAAGTAGTAGGGTTTAAGAGTGTAATAACGGACTGAAACAGGAGATGGCAGCACTGCATGTACAAGGATGCCAGCTGCCGTTAAACCCCGAAGAAGAAGAAGCTGCGTCCCAGAATTCATAGCGCAGCCCTGCTCAGTTTCCAACAATGGCGGCAGCTAGTTAGTTTTAATATTACTCTTATTATTCTTTCTGGGTCACAAAATAAACATTTAACATGTTTTCAGGCGAGAATGTAGCTGTGTAAACCTCAAATATCTGCTCAGTTTATCAAGACACCACATATTCTCAAAAGCGCTCCGACGTTTTCGGAGACGTCTGTTACCCACCAGCTCGATAGCGAGCCGGGGTTCAAGGCTCACTAGAGCCGGTGAGAACACCGGACTCCCGGCAAATCATTTTCAAACCCACCGCCGTCTTTCACTACTCAGGTTAAACGTGATATATAATTCACTTAGATAACTTAAAAATGTTATTGTTTGAATTTTTTTTTTTAAAGTATTTTATTTGTTCCTGAGTAAATCGGTTTGGCTGAGATTAAAGTTATAGTTTTTACACAGCTGAATAAATGTCAAGCAGACAGCTGATTATCAGAAGTGTGAGATGCTCGAGGATTTACTCCGGTGTCCCTTTATATTTTAGATAGCAAGGAGCAGACGGCTGAGTTTATTAAACTTCACTGAAACAATCTGCAAATGTCATTACAATTTAATAAACTATCATCTTGTCTTTATTTTTAGTTAGCACCTTAAACACTTCAAGCTGTAGGCTAATGATAGTTATATAAGAGTAGATGCATGCTGGTGCAATAAGCTGTACGTTTTACGTCCAATGGATGCATGATCTGATTAGTCGACTAATCGCAAAAATAATCGTTTGTGGCAGCCCTACATTAGACCAAACGTTAACATCGCTGGCCACAAACAATTCACTTTGATCTTAAGTGGGCCATACCAATAAAACTTACCTCTGTTTAACTACACATTTAATGTCTGTGAGGTCCTATTATAATTTTAAAAAATGGTAATTTCAGCAGTATTTCTCAGTTTTTCTACAACATCATAAAAAGCTGCTGCAATAAATGAAAGTAATCTGTTAGCACAACTTTTGCAAATAATAAATATGTAAAATAACAGTAGCATAAATGTCGATTGGAGAGGTCTTTATCAGTAGGAAGAGCTGTGAAATGTGTGAAAAGTTAAAAGTAAAAAATTCATGCCGTCTTTCACATTTTCCAAAGCCATCCAGTGCACCTCATTGGAGTCTTTGATTCGAACCCTTATGTTTGAGGCCCCTGGTCTAAACTGTTAGATAAGAAGTGATACCAGTGATACTGGATTTCTATTCGTTTGGAGCCAACACCCAATATACATTAATTAAAAGGAATTATTAAAGGAGCTGGCATCATTATGTTTGGATGTCTCCATAATTGTGAAAACTGAGAGTTGTGTACTATAGAAAACGAGTGCTTTTCTCCTGATGCTTTTCTCGAAAGTATAATGAGCACGTGTCCAACCATATCAATCAGATACATACCAAATATGAGCTCACGACCACACATTGAACTTTTCTTTGAGGAAAATTTCAAACAGGACCTCATTCCAGCTGCTTATTTTGGATGGATTTGCTGCTTTTCCTATGGAATATTAAACAGGATTTCTCAGAAATGTTGAAATTTTACAGTTACAGAACAAATGCCCACTTGTTTGATTCTTGGTCTTCATTTGCTGAATTTTTATGTTTAATGTCACAGTTTGTGATGTTTTACATGCCAGATAAGTGTTGTGACCAGTAAAAAGATGTTTTATGAAATGAAAGAAATTTATAGCATGTTAACTGATCTAGTTTCAGAAACCTTTACATGAGTATCCTATCATCTATACTGTGACCGTACTTAAATTCAGATGTAAGTCAAGATGTAGGAAATGGGGTAATGTTTTATAATCAAGGTATAAGTTAAGTGCTTGGGAGATCTTGTGTTTAAATATAATCTATTGAGAAGTAGGGCTGTTCGATATATTGATATATATCGGATGACGATATAAAAACATCTATCGTTTCATTTTACGCTATCGTTTGTTTCGTGGTGTCGCAAAATAAACTCTACGGCAATATTTTTTCATTATTTTGATGGTCACTGTAGTGGTTATATTAATTTCTTAAAGTTCTCTCTTTCTCTTATATTTAATATAACCACACTAATGATGGACAAGCGCCTGTTTTTATGCGTTGTCGTTAGCAACAGCGACGGTAACACCTTCGCGTGTCCGCTTGTTTATGTTCCACATAAACCTTTCACAATAAAGCTCAAGATCCTGTTGAGACTTTTCAAAATAAACTGAATCACGTGAAAGAGCAGATTATTTACGAATGAGAAGTAAAAAAGAGCCGCCAGGTGCTAAAAAATAAACCTTAGACTCAAACGTTAGAACAGGCTTTTCCCCGCAGCACGCCGTGTAATAAATACTCACAAAGAAAACGGCGGCTGTTACAACTTATGTCTAAAAATGTACGTTTCATGCATCTGTTAAAACACTCGACTCCATGACGCGCAGCTGGAAACACTTCATGCAAGTCGAGCTGCCCGAGATTCACAGAATTTACAGAAAATGTTACATTTTAGTGATTTATATCGTTATTGGGACGATAGAAGTCTTATATCGGGATATGAGATTTTGGTCAGCGATTTTGCAAAATGCCCAGACCAGCCCCTCACTGAGCAGTTGAACAGGTGCACCTAATGAAGTGGCCAGTCGGTGTATATTTAGACACACACTCAGGGTTCTTGCTTTTAGTAAACTTTTCTTATTACTAAAGTAATTAGTTTTTGATTTAAAAATGACAGTAAGGACTTCAGATCACGAGGCAGCACGTAGACACTAACTTGGCGCTGAATGCTTTTACAAAGGCCAGCCAGGTGTACATGACCTTTCAGCTGAAGTCCTGCTAGTTTGGTTGCTTCTAAATTCATGTGTGGAATAAGTATGTTGAAATTCATTAAATTAAGTACTACTTAATTACATGCACTCATCTGAGGAACATAAATTCATGAAACACCCTTCATTAATTTGTGCACTATCATTTGAAATCACCAGCCTTTGCATTTTTATTAAATCGCGTGTTTCGAGTACCTTCAGTTTCAGTTTTCTGTATTTTAAAGCTGCTCTCCATCAGCTGACGTCACGTCTCTTGTTCCCCGCAGGTGATCCCAAAACTTGGCAGAACAAATCTCTCCCTGGAGACCCAAACTACCTGGTGGGTGCAAACTGTGTGTCTGTGCTCATTGACCACTTCTGAAGAGGGCAACAGCTGGCCTGTTACTGAATGTGATAAAGCAGGGGACCCGAGTCTCCCCTGCCGTGCCCACTCCGCGGTGCAAAATGCTTGATGAAGTATGAACTCAAACTCACGTTGTTTACTGTGCCCAAAATTTAAAAAAACTTAAAAAAACACACACAAGGAGAGTCAGAGTCCAGCATCCCCAAGGCTGTACTCCTCCTTTCTTTTCTTTCTTTCTTTTTTTTTGGTTTGGTGCTTACAAGGCTTGCAAAAAATAAAGATGAAAACGTTATTTAAACAAAAGGAACTGGAGTTGGAATGCATGACCAGTGCCACAGACTGAATAATCACATTTTGACATTTTTAGCTAATTTTGTAAAAGTTCAGAGCGGTGGAGGAGGTAAAAACAAAACAAAAGAGGATAATTTTGAAAACTTGTTTAATATTGCAGTTTGATTTTTGCATACTGTAAAAATAAAAACAAAAATAAAACAACTCACAAACAGCAAAGTTTGTATATGCAAAACTTTTGTTTGTGAGTTCTGTGGTCATGCGTTTCACTCATGATGGATCTCTGAGGACTTGAGAAATTGCTCAGCGTGACTCATGAAGACGTAGGCATCATCGAGATTTAAACAAAAAAAAAACTAATGAAGAATGAAGGTTAAGTATTAGTATCAGACACCCGCTCGTCCAGCGGGGTTCTCTCTGTTTCAAACGTGTTTTTTGTAGAAATGTTTTACCGTAGATAAATATACTGACTTGATTTTACAAACTCCTGCTGTCTAGAGATCTATGCATGTGCTATGACTCAGGTTCAGAAGCCTGCTACTACTAAGTTCAACACATGAGAAATCCCATCGTACACTGCAAGCAGTGATGCCTTATCTGCATATTAACTTTTCAGTGAAACTTTAAAACATCGGTTCCTTCAGTTGTAGCGATCACTACGGAAGAAGCAGAAGAAGAAGAAAAAGAAGTTGTCGTCGTTGTCTCTGCATTTTCTCCTAAAAACGGTGAACTCGGATTTAGCACACGAGAATAATTGAGACTGATGAAAAAGGTATGCTTTCTTTTACTGCTATGCATATGAAGTCTGAGGAAATACAAAAAAACAAAACAACAAGCTAGAAGATGTTTAAGTTGTGGCTGTACATAATGCTAGCATATGGCCTTGGTTCTCTGTAAATGAACTTTTGTACATCTTTGTTATTTTGTATAAAAGAGAAAACGTTTGTTTAAAAAAGAGAAAGCGGTTACATTGGTTATGTTTGTATTCTGGTTATACCCCTGAGCCTTGGAACTGACATAAGCAGTAATAAGTCCGACTTTTCTACCAACGTATACAAACACGTACACACATTACAAACATACACACTACTTAAGGCATTTTTAACTGTCAGAAAACTTTTTATTCTTATTTACAAAATAGAGAAGTGCTCGGTTTAAATGATTTTAAAAGACGTATTTGAGGGGGGCTGCTGTGAAGAGTGGTCCCTTCCTTTCTTTGTGATACTGGATGCTGTATTGTGTGCCCTGAAATGTATTTTTGTACTAAGACAATTTATTATGGCACATCAGTACTATTTTTCTTTTGATATGACAACACTGCTTCAACCCGACACTAGTTTTTTGGTTTTTTTCCCCGTGTGGCTGACATTCTTTTTATTTATTTTGATTTTACTTTCATTTGTTTTCCTTTGCAACACATTTCTAAGTATACCACTGTATTACTAAATAAATTCATTTATAAAGTAAACGCTGCCCAGATTCCACTGTTGTTGTTTCCCACGTCTTTTTAGATAGCGACACAGCAACACCAGTTTATTTTCTGCCAAATGGATCCGAGATGATTCCCGCGAGGGTTCAGGAGTTGGCGGCTGTTTTTGAAATAATTTATTGCTCAGTTTTGAGTTTTCTGCGCCTGCCTGCTAAAATGTTCCATCTGTAAATGTAGTGAGACGTTGGGGTGGGTTACTGTTCACACAGCGAGCTTAACTCCCTGTACTGGATTTTCTGGATTTTTGCATATCAGGAAAAAAATCAATAAGAAGGCAAGTTAAAACGTGTTTCTAGAAATGTTTGCATGTTTACTAAATGATTTGTAGAAACCCTTTAAGCAGCATTTAACACTGAGCACATCTGCAGCCTTTGGACTGCTGGATTTGAGGAACTTCTCGTCTCCTATTTGACAGGAAGCATCTGTTTACCATCTTCCCCAGCCTAGGTTTTCTTCAAGGACACTTTGGCTATATTTATCCTTTTCTAGATTATGTACACTCATAGCACCATCCCGCCACCGCCTTATTGCATTACGAGGGTTTTATCAGGAATCCAGTGACAAGTGCTGTTGATCAGAGTATTTTTGGAATTCGACTCATAAGATCGAGAATCTGTGTGCTGTGAATTTGAATGCTGTTTAGTAAACTCAAAGTAGGTTGTCAAACTGAATTCATAATCCATTCCCTTCACATACAAGGTCTTGAATAATCAGGCACCATTTTATCTTAAAGACCCCATAATACCATACCCACCACTCTACAGCAGTTCACTCAGACTGCGGCCTCAGTTGTTGTTCTTATCATATTTAAAAGTAGAAAAGCAGCCCCTTCAGCTTCCAGGCTCCTCTTCTGTGGAACCAGCTCCAAGTTTGGATTCATCAGACAGACACAATCTCTCCTTTTAACATTTGATTAAACTTTACTTTGTGATAATGTAGATAGTTGGCGCTGGATCAGGTGACCCAGAATCCTGTCTACACTGCAATAGGCCCAGGCTGCTCGAGGCTATCCATGATGCAATGAGTGTTCATTCACCTTCTTTTCCCCTCACTGTGTTTTATACACCTCTCTGCATTTAATCATTAGTTGTTAATAATCTCTTCCACAGCGTGTCTTTACCTTACAAAAATGGAGCGCTTCGACTCAACTGTTGTGATTTGGCTCTATATAAATTCAAATTGAACTGAATATTACTCTGAAGGCCTGAGTGATGGAGCTGTGGAGATGGCAGGTTTTTTTCCTGCAGCAGTTTAGCTGCAGTCAGGATGGAGTGAACGTTTGGTCTCCTCATTCAGTCAGCTTTCTGGATCCATCATAAACAGCAAATGTGGTGCTTTCACATCGTCTCCCCCCCCACTGAAATTCCTGTTAGGGCTCTACCAAAAACCAGTTCCAGTCTGTGGTGCTCTGTTTTAAATATTTTCTGATCAGAGTATCTGGGTGGAAAAGTTCATTGACCTTCTTAGAATTGCATCATTTAAAAATCCGTACTATACAAGTGTAACTATTCCACATAAAATGTTTTTGTCATATTGCTGTAGGCCCTGTGATTTGTACAAAATAAAGCTCAATAGGATGGAATAACCAAACTTGATTTTTTCCTATATAAATTCGATTGGTTTAACCTTTATTCTGCAGTAGCTCAAGGGAGTCATTTAAGACAAAGTTCAGTGTCAGACAACATTTAGAAATATCTTATCAGAGTTCACTGATCTCTGCCTGTTTGTCAAGTTTCTTTTTATGTTTTATTTTTTTTTTTTTAAACAACAGGGTGTGACAGAGTTCGTCTGATTTATGTCAAAGGTTGCGCAGGTTAGTCACCCCGCAAGCCTGCCTGGAGGTTCCTCTTATTGTGCACATATGTGGTTATAAGGGCACAACGGCAGCTGCTACATTAACACTTCAGCACTTCAGGGCAGTGTTATGCAATAAAACTGTCAATTTACAGTGTGTGTCATCAGTACACAAACGGATAACGCAGTGTCTGCTTTTACCTCTGTACAAAAGTTCAGTTAGGTAACAACAAATCCCTACATAAGAGATACAGTAGATGTTGAAAAGTCAATATCCAGACTCTGATATCGGACCGGAATGGATTAAAAGAGCTTCAGTCCAATGTAAAAACAAAGGCGATTACAGTAAAATGTGCATGTTATGGTTAACTGTCCAAAGAATTAACGAATTAAGAACACAGTGAGTAGCACATACTCTCTGTATCACATAGTGTCACTGTAAGAGGTGAAGGTAGCTGTGCTAAAGATGAAAACCATCTCTCCAAACGTGACTTGACGTTTCCGAGTCCGTCCCTGAGATTAGTGTCTGTTAAGATCCATTATTGTTATTTCTTTGCAAACAAAGTGGCTCAGCAGTGACTACTTTAGCTTCTGTGTTAGAGTTTGACTTCCTTCGAGACGACTGCTCTGTAGATTTCTTCGGTCAAGGGCACATAAGTCTTTTTTTCAGGATCCAGGAAGTATAGAGGATCTTTGATGTGAGCTGGGTTGAATCCTTCCTCCACCAACTTCACTTTCTTCATCTTGAAGGTTCCCGTCATCTCCAGGCAGGGCTGCAAAACACAGTTTGAAAGATGTTTTTGTGTCAAGCTTTAGTGTAGAACAAAAAGCAAAGAAAACCAAAACATAATTAAGATAAACCGCCAATAACAATGCTGTCAATCAGATCAGATATCAGCTACAAACTGCAAAGCAATATTACACAGTTATTATTAGAGGACGGCAACATTAACTCAAAAGAGATAAGAGATAAGAACATGCCGGTGCTTCTATCAGTCAAAAACGGGAAACTGAAGCTATAATTCACACTGACAGATCAAAGTTCACTTAGAAGATTGGAAAAACATCTTCTGGTCTAACGAGCGTCTTATTCTGCTGCAACAGTCAGATGGTAGGGTCACAATTTGGTGGAAAGAGCATGTAATCATTGCTCCTTCATGCTTTGGCTCAACAGTTAAGGATAGTTTCGGTGTAATAGAGTGGGGGATATTTTCTTGGCTCACTTTGGGACCCTTAGTATCAACTGAGCATCGTTTAAACACCACAGCCTATGTGAGCATTGTTTCTAATGTCCATCCCTGTATGACCGCAGTGTATGCATCTTCTGATGGCTTCTTCCAGCAGGATAACGCACCATGCCATGAAGCTCATATGATCTCAATCGGTTTCCTGAACGTGACAGTGAGTTCACTGTACTCAGATGGCCTCCACAGTCACCAGATCTCAATTGAGTAGTGTGTTTGAGATGTGGTGGAACGGGAGCAGCAGCTGTGTGATGCTGTCAGGTCAACATGGAGCAAAGTTCCTGACAAATGTTTCACCTTGTTGAATCTATGCCACAATAAATTAAGGCAGTTTTGGGGGTAAAAGGTATATTAGAGTAATTTCCTTGGTACATAAATCCAAATATTTCATGTTAAAGTAGCTGTAGAACGGTCCTGTACTGCACTTTCTTGGGAACTTTCTTTTTAATCCTCTCCAATAATTTTATCTGGAGGGCACATCCTCTACGGTTTTGCTAAGTCATGAAAATATGTTGCCAGAGTCAGCATTTCTTGCAGCTGTCCCTAACCCTGAAGGAAGTGTTAGGGTTACATCACTGCACTGCCTTCCTGTTTGGTTCAAAGGAAAAATCTGAAATCCTTGATATTTGTCTAGAAAAAACAACATTGGGACCCAATGACACATCTGATTTCTGATCTGCATTATTAGTAATCTTACACAGTAAAAACTCGGGCTCAGACTCGGATCCACGCACCGCTTCAGCCATCTGGATTTTAGACACCAAGCGTTTAGCACGTTTAGCCTTTGAGCATGCACTAATTAAAGGTGGAAAGGATGAACTCCGTGAGTACAGCAGAATCAGACCACAAATTAAAACAATATCTTTAAGCCATAGCAGCCCGTCTGGTCTGGATGTGCATGTATTATTTATTGATATTTATTACCTGAATCCTGATGAATCTGGGTCTCGCGTAAGCTGGGAGGTAGTTGACGACCTGCGTGTACGTGGCCGAGCAGTCGAACTTTTGTCCTTCTTCCAAAGTGAGAGCTGCCATGCCGACTCGCCCTTCATGACCTTGATTGAAAAATGAGAGAAATATGAAATGCAAAGTGCAGACAGCTCTGTAAGGTTTTAATATGTATGACCCGAGTGCGTTTACCTTCAACTTTCACACCGTAAACATTCGCCTCTAATATGCAGTAGACCATTGTGAGAATGTCTGCAACCTCCGATGTGGCGACGTTCTCTCCTTTCCACCTGAAACAAAAAACACGAAAAGACTCCAATGAACAATTTCTGCAGCACAGTTTGAACCTGATCTGCAAGTAAACATCTGCACAAAAGAAAAAAAGCCATTTTCACACACACTATTCTAACCAGCTGTTAATTGCATATTTTTATACTTTTAATAGCTGAGAACTAAACCAGACCAAACGGTGACTCAGTCTAGACTCGATCGTCTGGGCAGAACCACAAAAACAAAGCGACAGGTCAACACAAAAATGAGTCACAACTTGCCTGAAAGTGTCGCCGACTCGATCTTGAAAGTACACAAAGTTCTCTTTGTCGAACCGAAGCAAATCGCCGGTGTTGAAGTACAGGTCGCCCTTTTTCAGGACGTCTCGAAGCCGCTTCTTCTCCGTCTGCTCCTTGTTACCAGCGTAGCCAACAAAGGGGGACCTCTTTGTTACCCTTCCCACTAAAAGTCCCGTTTCACCTGGTAGAGACATCGGGAAACAAAATAAATCAAAACTCCTTTTTAATTTCACTTCTATCAAACTAAAACTCCTTTAAATTGAACCCGATTTCTCTTTACAGACTCACCTACGGCTGCTTGGATGCACAGACCCTGCGAGTCCCTGACAGGTTCCTCCTTCTCAATGTCAAACTTGATCAAAGTGTAGGGGAAGAAAAACTGGAAAAGGAAGAAGGAAAGAAAACCCACCAGTTAAAATGTTTTAAAA